TCTGTTTACAGGAAGAAAAGAAAGGCAAATTTTTCCGGAAAGCAAAGACAAGAAGGAAAGTTCAAAGAACCTGCTCTTGTTGTTGATGAAATCACCTGCTCAACTCCAAGCACTTCTCAAGATGGAAATAAGCTTTCGGACTCTAACGAAACTGTTGGTTCTTCCAGAAAGAAAATGAAAATGGAGGCAAGATGAAGCAACAGGAACTTCAACATACAATGTTAATAACTGTTTGCCTGAGGTCTTTCTTGAAGTCTTGAAACCAACTTTTATGACTTTGAGGGACTCTAAATTGCTTGAGAGATGTGTGTTGGGAACAACACAACATCCCAATAAATGCATCAACTCCATGGTGTGGGTAAGATGTCCTAAACATAAGCACCATGGTGTTAAAGTAGTTCAGTGTGCTGTGGCATCGGCAGTCTGCCACTACCATAGTGGAGTTTCTAGTAGGCTAAATATTATGGAGAGGCTATCTATCCGTGGTGGTGAATGCACAAGAGAGGCAGCACATGCGAAAGACAGTAAACGGTTGACAAAGTCTGATTTGCAGGCTACGCAGAAGGAAAAGAGACGACGTCAAGGCGAGCAACTTCTGTGGACTCGTCAAGAAGAAGCCCTTCGAGAAGCTGAAGGAGTGACATATGAACCAGGAGGCTTTTAAATTACTTTTAGACACTCCTGTGGTCAAAATACGGACACTAGTGCCACTATAATGGTTACATATTTTAAAAAATCAACTTTGATTGCTACCTGTAAGTTTAAGGTCAAGTTCCTCATTATGCAATAATTTCGTCTTCAAGAAAGGATATCTTGAGAACTATTTATCCGATTGATCTGAAATTTTCAGCATTAATTTTGTTCTTCTTGATAAGTTTTGTGTTATAGGCAGAGCAATTTTCCATATGATGTATGTACTTGAAGTTATCAAGTGAGACACCCCTTCGATTTCCTGTGTCAAGTTCAATCAATCATTATTTGAAATGTTTTCAACATTTTAGAAATCCTTCTGCCTATAACAATAAGCAAAATGTGTCACTTAAAGTGATACAAAAAACATTAATTTTTATCAATTCCAGAAGGAGCTATGTTTTCTCAAGTAAGCCTTGGTAGAACCCAGCAGGTGGCAGAATTAAATGAGTGGTATCCTATTACAATTGACAAGTGGAGTGTGAAATATTTTTTTTCATGATAGTCAAGTCATAAGCTTTCCAGGAATATATAGTTTGCTTAACTTTTCAATTAAATCCCTGCTGTGAACAATTGTTAAAAAATGGCCAGTTTATTAGGTTTACCCCCGCCTTAATACAGGGTGTCTGCTCAAAACAGGCTCTAATATGTTGTGCAACAATAGTTAATTATGAACCCTTTTGTAATTCAGTGTAAGACAGAATAAGATCAACAACTGCTCAAAGCACAATGTCCAGTCACTTAAGAAGCTTTAAAACCACACCACTGAACAATGTTAAGGGAGTCTCAGCTGAACCTTTAGGGGTAAAAAGCCCTAAAAGTGTCCGCTTATTGCAGGTTTTGTGCAACAAAATGGCTTAATATTGGTGTCCGTGTCCGCTTAACAGAGGTGTCCACTGAATGCAGGTTTATTTTACAGAAAATGTGGGAAGAAAATTTAGGGACTCAAGCTGGTGTCCACTTAATAAAGGGTGTCCGCTTAATATGGGGTCTGCTAAAACAGGTTTCACTGTAAAAGAAAGCAGGTGGCAGATCAAAAATTTAACAAACAGTGATTGTATAAAAAATAAAAAATTAATAAGAATTTTACAAACCTCGCCCCCAATAATGAGTGTCCCATCACCACTACTTCCAGAACGAGTGGTCCTGAAAATACATATAATAATGAGTAAAGTTTTCTTTTTTGTCAGACAAGAGTATCTCTTGTGATGTGATCCTGTAGTACATATCATAAATGTTTGGTTTTTGCTAATTAAGCCAAGGCTCAGGATGCAGATTTTAAATATTAGGTTTAGTCTAGAGCACTAAGGTAAGTCAGATCTAAAGGAAGAAACAGTGAGGCTGGACCCAACCCAAAAACCTGAGGATTAGAAAGAAAGAACTGAACTGCTCTTCAGGTCTAAGCC